GTATTGTCTTCTGATCATGAGAACCAATGACACCCATTCTCCGATACTTGCTGAGACTTGCTCTGTGGCCCACACGAGGTCTCTTTTCACAAATATTCCGTGTGTGCATGTGAAGACTCGGATTCACTGCTGGAGACTGGTTTTCTAGAACTCCATTTCATAAGCCTATTTGCTGAATTGCTTAAACCCACCGTCTGTGTTATAATTTTCTGTCTGCCTCATCCATCAATTATTGAGAGCGGTGGGTTAAACTCTACCACTCTGATAGTATCAATCTCCAGACTTGCGGTTCTGTCCATTTCCTTTTTATGAATTTTGAGGCTATAAAGTTAGCTGCGTACAAGTTTAGAATTTTAAATTTTTCTAAGTTTACCATTGGGAAATGGATCTTCTTTGTATTAGTGCCTTTTATTTTACTATCTAGTTTGCTAGTCCTTTTACTATCAGCCATTTGGGGCCCAGATGCTTTGGTGGTGTTTAGCTTTGGTGGTTTTTTTCAAATGGCATCCAGATTTTTAAGGAGCACGTGGCTTGTTGCCATCATGTGTTAATCTGCTTTTTAATTGTTTGATTCACTTGTATTTATAATGATTACTGGTATTTTTCCTTCATCTTAGTTTATATTTTTCCTACTTTTAATGGTTTTTATCGTTTCTTTTTCTATGCCTTTAGCTCAACCAAGGTTTTTAATAATTTATTTCTCTTTCATTAACTAGTTTGGAATTTAGCCATTTACTTCTATTTGTATGTGAATATACATACAGGTATTTATTTTTAAGATAATCTACCCTTTCTTCCCAAACTTACAGCACTTTTTCTCTTTTTTAGGGCAGTCTCACTCTGTCGCCCATCCTGGAGTGCAGTGGTACAGTCATAGCTCACTGTAGCCTCCAGCTCCTGGGCTCAAAAGATCCTCCTGCCCTGGCCCCCTGACTTGCTAGGACTATAGGCTTGAGCCACCTCACCTGGCCCCACACTGACAGCACTTTAACACCCTTGCTTTGCATATTATTGTCTAGCTTGTTGTTGCTACTGTGTTTTGAGTCAGGGTCGCACGCTGTCACCCAGGCTGGAGTACAGTGGTGCGTTTGTGGCTCATGCAGCCTTAATATCCTAGGCTTAAGTGATCCTTCAGCCCCAGCCTCCTAAGGAGCTGGGACTAGAGGCAGGAGTCACTGCGCCTGGCCAATTATTTTTATGTTTTACAGAGACAAGGTCTCTGCCTCAGCCTCCCAACGTGCTGGGGTTACAGGCATGAGCCACTGTGCCTGACCTTGCCTAGTGTTTTTTACCCAAACGAGACATCACCCTTGTGCAGTTGATGTGTGCTGACTTATTCGCTTTCACCCGGTTCCTCACTGCTCCTTCATGCTGCTCTCACTTTCACATATAGACCTGTTTTCCTTCTCTCTGAAATACTGACTTGGCTGTTCATTTACATATAGGGATCTAGCAGTGATGAACTGTTCTTTCTAAACACTTGGTTAACTTTCCAGCCCTCCAATGATGATTTAGTCATCCAAATAGCCCCCAGGCCCCGAGTGCCTCATGCCCAGAGAGGTGTGGACCGGTGCTGCTGTGCATGCTGTTTGCTCTCTGCCTGGCAGATGTGAGGCTGCATCCTCATACAGATGAGGATGGAGCTCCAGACGAAGACGCATGCTCAGGAATGGCACATGGCCACTCTGTGTATTGCAGAGAAACCTGCACAGTGTGTAGCGTGCACAGAAAGTAACTCATCAAATACAGCACTTAAAACCGAGGGAACTCATGCTTTAATAGACACTGAAATCACAAAGGAAGGCCAAGTGCCTTAGCAGTCTCGATAAAAATATGAAGTTCTTTTTACATGGTAAATTTCATAATATAAAAAGTTTAATGCCATCTGGAAACTGTGTAATTTACCCAAAAAAAGTCCACATAGGCCAAAGATGGCGACCACTGCAGGTAAGGAACGTGACTGCCAGTGGGGAAGGCGCTGCAGAGGGGGCTGCGGGTTCCTGACAGGGAACAGCTCTGAAGACTCTGGCACAACAAGGGTCCCGTTCACATACCACGTGTACACTTATTTTAGCTAAAACAACAAACAGGTGATGAAAATTATACAGTTTCCACTCTGCCTACTTACTAAAAGCAAACCAGATTATTGCATGGTCTTTTTCCAACCTGAACTGAAATGATCAAGGCTACAGTTCTCCTGGGGGTCTGCAGGGGGGTGGCAGGTGGGGAAGCAGCAGGAGAGACGCGGGCCAGGGACTTGCTGCCATGCTCACCTGCTAGAGAGTCGCTGGGACAGGACAGCATGGTGGCACCTCATCTCCTGCTGAAACTCAGCAGGCATCAGTGTGGACCATGAATTTTTAAAAGTGGGATGGAGGTGAGAACACTTTCATTTTGCTGCACTTCACTGTGCATCAAAATGTGAGCTTTAGTAGCTAATTTTCTCTTGGTATTTTGACTTAGCAAAAGTCATCAGTCGTTGAGTGGTTCACGGGTGAGAATTAAGACAGCCTACTCCCTTGTGGTGTGGTCACGCCAAGGTTTCTAAGGCAGGGAGGTTGTACTGCTCGTCTTCAGTGTGTCTGCGTCTGCTGGAGCAGCACAGGGCAAGGCATTTCCGCCTCCTGAGCTAAAACGAAGTATGCCCAATGCTTTCTGCGAATGGTAAGCAAAAAATCGTTTTGTAAATCTACCCACCTCCATGGAGTCCTCCTAAGCAGGCAGAGGGCTGGGGGCTGTCGGAAATCACTTGCTGCCATCCACTGGCCCCCGTGCGCTCAGGGCACACTGGTCAGTCTGTCCATTACCTGACACTCTTCCCAGACTGTAGCAACAAAACCACTATTCCCTCTGTCTTCTGTCGTCTGTACCAGGCAGTCATCCAACTTTATTGAAAGGCCAGGTATCAGGCATTTTAGGCTGTGTGAGCCAAGAGGCAAAGCAAGAATATTATACAGGAACTTAAATAACCATTCTAAGAGGTTACTTAGCTTATGGCCACAAAAGACAGACAGCTGACCAGATCCACCTCAAGGGTCACAGTTGTCAACTGGTCTGTACACAGAAATCTCTGTGAATTGTACAATCTCCCATAATTTTAAGTGCATTCCTTTTTCGGTGCAGCTCCCCAAAGTCACTTTTATTTTACATCCGTGTCACTCATAAACACCAAAACTGATAGTCCACATAAAGCAGCAGTGACCTTACAGTGATCTTTAGCTTGGCCCTATCACTTTATCACCTTTGTTTTCCCTTCATTGAAGCTTGTATCTAGAACATAAAAAACCCCACATATACCATTTGGCTCTTGAATGTGAAACCTAAAATAATAAAGTACATAGGACTAAAACCAGGTGAGAGTCCATGAGTCCTCTTAGCTGGCTTGGCAGCCACAGAAAGCGGTCCGGGTGGTGGAGGTGTTCGCTAGAGGTGGGCAAATAGGGTCACCCCCTCCTCCTCGCGGACGGGGGTACAGACCCCAGGCCTTTACTCCAGGGGTCCTTGGCACTTGGGAAAGAGACTGCAAGAGTGCTGCTGAGAAAGGGACAGCCTAACTGTCTGCATATGGGTTCAGATATCTGAGGTTTACTCTTATTGTTGAGGATCTGATTTTGCTATCTAAATACAAAATTCTATAAATTTGGTTTTATTTGCTACATGGGTATTTTATTACCATTTTTTCCCTACTAATATAAAGACATCCTCATAAGCTTATCTCTTTATAAAGTACTTCTTTTTCAGTGTGGGGATCAGGGTTAGAATGTGACATCCTTATTGGTGAAATGAAAAACCTCTATGTTGTAGCTCAAGGGAATAACAAAAATTGGATAAATATTATCCTTTCTTCTTTTCAGAGGAGTACACTGAGGAACAGGGGAGAAGATCAGTGCATACAGATAAGGGGAGATCCTGCCCCAGAGTCAGACTCCACCTGGGGTCCTGATGGTAGCGTTCCTCCTGCCAGGCCCCTCGAGTCCACTCCATGTGTTGCTGATGTCTGGGCCAGGTGGCTGCCACCTTTGTGTGATTAAACCCTTGCAGTGGTAGGATTTTAACTTTAGAGTTACCTAAAAGATATTCATTTAAATTTTCCAGCTAAACTTAGGATTAAGATGATTTTCAGCATTTCATTTCTTTATTGAAATAAATTAATGGTTACCCCTAACTAGACTATTCCTCTGTCTCGTCCAAAGCTGGCAACAATGTGAGCATCCTGGCCTCGCTGTGGGGAAAGTCCGCCTTCATCTTCTATGATAAATATCTGTTATTCGGCAATCATGTGGCTGTCTATCGCAGGAGAAGGCCCCCTGCTTCTCCAGGACACAAGGCTTCGGCTGTGGGGGGCTTGTCCTTGAGGCGCAGACGTGCGAGGAGGCTGGCCACGGCAGATGTGAGGGTCGAGTGCAGCTCACAGAGATGGGGTGCTGAGGTTGTGGGGAGCTGGCAATGGATTTAGAGAGGTCTTAGGGGCCTGGAGCTGGGAACAGAGAATGACGTTAAGCAACTAATACAAGGGAGGGAGTAGGAGCTGGAAGGCTAGATTCTGGTTAAATCTAGTTAGCCATGGGATTGTTTTTCTTTTTTTTTCTTTTTTTTGTTTTTTGCTTATAAGGAAACTGAGTGATTTCAACTTTTCCCTCCAAACTTGATAAGTACTTATTGATGACTGTTCAAAATTTGACATTTTAAAAAACATTTTGAGCTTTTAAAAATAATAGCTATAAATGCAAAGTACTATTAATAATAAAACCAAGTTGTTTATCCATGTACAAAAAAGGTCACTAATGTTTTAAAAGCACAAAGTTGCATTTTAAATCACAATTGCATAGTTCTAAAATGCCTGGATAAGAGTTCCATTGATTTTCCTAAGAAAATTCAAGTTCAGTTGACAGAGGGGCCCGAGGACGTCTGCAGGGCTCGATGGAGCCGAGCAGAGTTCCGCATGGAAGCGCTGCCTCAGCATGAAGTATTGCATTGTTGCTGTGATGTTACACGATCGCGAGACCAGAATTACTATAACTTAATTACAAATCATTGGCATTTTAAAAACCATTATTCTGTTTTTGGCTAATATCACACTTTCATGTAGAATTCAACTTAGAGAGATTTTATATATCCCACCCCCAACCAGCATCTGAAAAACCTTTAAAAAAGCGCTATTTGTATTTCTGTGTATAAAAGGTACTGCATATACACCTCTTAGCAAAATATGTGCTCCCGCTCCTCTCCCCACCCCAGAACCATGACCATTTTTGTACAAAATCCTGTTGAAGAATCGTATCAAAGATGAGAAGCAGAGAGTTCAAAGGTAAACATTTGGTGAAGTGTGTGGAAAATCACACGAGCCTCTTGCACCAATCCCACAGAAGTCCTGGCTTTTGGAGAATCTGGCCGGGAGGCCAGAAAAGCCACCAGTGTGTGGTGGTGGCCTTTGGATGTGGAAGTGCCCTTTGTCCAGAGAGCACACTGTTATGAGGTGCTGCTGGGGGTTGTGGGGGGTGACTGCACTCAGACAAGGGAAGAGGCTGACATGAACACTGAAACCCTGTCTGTGGGCTGCTGTGCTCTGAGTCAATGGGCATAAAAAGGCTTCAGCATTTGGAAGAAGGAAAAAATCTTCCTGGGGACAGGAACTTGTAGCCATTTCCAGAGGGAAGTCTCAAAGGGCGTGTGGGGGCTGCAGCAGGAGGGCTGGCGGGCAGTGGCAGTGTGCTCAGTGTGGTAGTCTCCGTGCGCCAGTGTCCGTTGGGAGGGGCTTTTTGTGGTGCTTCGCCGTGTTGCGGCAAAGACAGCTCCTTGAGTTCAAGCTTATCTACTCCCTCCTCCTTCTTGTTGTGCCGTGGTGACAGATTTAACAGACTGAGGACATCTCTTTTGGAAGTCATCGTTCCGGGGGTCCCGTGGAAGATCTTCATTGGTCCCGAGGAATGCTGGGGCGTGCTCTGCCAGAACATCTTCAGGTTGTGGACGGCCTGCACTTTTTCGTCAATGGCTGCCATTTTCAGTTTGTCTATGTCTGGAGCATCAGCAGGGCTCGAGCGAGTGGAGCCAGCTGAGGAGTAGGATAGAGCTGGGGATGGTGCACTACCAGCAGGAGACTGATGCCCTGAGCTTGGGGACATGTTTCTCGGAGATTTGGAAATGTGAGCACTGTAAGGAGAGCTGGGGTACTTCAGTTTAAAGAGAGGCTGATCCATCAGGGAAGTCTGGGAGTCAGAGCCAGGCGATGGCCGGCCGCTGTGCTGGCTCGGGCTGTCTTCTTTGATGGACATCTCTGAGGTGGTGGGGCTGCTGTATCCAGAACTCACCTTGGGTAGGGATGAGCTCCTGGCTGGGGGCTTTGGCTTAACAGGAACTGGTGACGGTTGACTCTTCTGATGAGAGAGCACGGGCCTGCTGAACGCACTTGTTTCTGACGCTCTGAAGACGGCAGCACTGTTTGGCACAGAAATGCCATCTTCTGGGTTATGACTCTTGCTCGCCTGACTGCCGCTCCTCTGAAGACGTTCCACCGCAATAAGATGGCTTTGCGTCTCCTCTAGAATTTTCTGGGCTAACTCTTGAGGATCAAGCTTTGGGTTGTTTTCTTCTTGGGATTTCACAGTACTATCTGTCTCTGTGCTCGACTGGTCTGATTCTCCTGTATCTGAACTTGCCAGTTTTCCAACCTTTTGGAAGGGTGAGTTTGGGCTGGGAACGAGGGTCATTTTAACTGGAGAGTTTGGAGTGCTCATACTTCCTTTGGAGCTGATTGAGGCCTTCACACCCGCAGCTGTCCCAACTCTCAACTGCTTCTGATCCGGTGAGAAGCATGTCTTTCTGTTTTCTTGGTAGGGTGCCAAAGGCTCAGTACTGATGATAGAAAACCCTTCGTATTCCTCGTCGTCTTTGTTGCCGGCAGGGCGGGTCTGGGGGGACAGCTGGCTCCGGGGCAGGGTAGATCGCTGCGAGTAAGCATTCTTGGACCGGTCATGGTCCTGCCGTGCTCTAGAACCCCCACCCTCTGACCCACCCTCAGGCTTGGAGACAAAGCTCATTGAGGAGGCGATGGAGCTCAGGCTGTACACGGAGATGGCGTCTGAGGCGATGCTGTCTGTGCCCGTGGGAGAGAAGGGAGGGTGCTGGTAGCCCAAGGGCAGGGCATTGGAGACAGACTGAGCCGATGCCAGAGACTCCAGGGAGGATGAGCTGTCCAGGCTGAGGCGCTTGGGCAGCTCGGTAGAATCTGAGCACAAACACAAGTGCCCAAGGGCTGTTAGAATTCTATATGGTTTTGATGCTTCTTTCAAAATTATAAAAATCCTTAGGTGCACAAAAACTAGTCAAGATTTAAGCAAGAGCTACTTATATATACTGCTCGAGTTAACCTCACAATCCTGAAAAGCATGGTCAATCTCACATGGGTCAAAAACACCCTGGGAAAGCTTATGGCCACACCTGCCTTGGACCTCTGCCACCACGGCCATCTCCACTCTGCTCCATCACGAGGGGACAGGGAACAGCAGCAGAAGGAGCCCATATCTGCCTCAGCCAGGCCTGTGAGCAACCTGGGCCATCTCCTGTCCTGAGCCCCACCCACCCTGCCACCCCCTCCAGCTCCTCGCAGTTGACCTCAGGCGTGGTCTACACTCACCCTCCCAACTGCCTCTCCTCCCACTCACCTAACCCACACCATCCAGGTTTTTGTCCCCATTCATTTTTGTAAAGGTCATCTATGAGGTCCACCCTGCTCTCACCTCCCCAGGCTCCTCCTCTTTTGACCTCTGAACTCTGGAGTGCCCACAGGACTCAGTCCTTGTCCCCGCCAACCCTGCACTTGCAGGCACCCTCACCCTGTGATTCCATGCACACTTGTATCTCCACATCAGCCTCTCCTTAAACTCCAAGCTCATGCAACCAGCTGCCCTAGGTGGGCGTCCAATGGGCATTTCACGACTGAGTGTGTCCAGGCTGGAACCCAACCCATCGCTCTGCCACTCTCCCAGTCTCCCAAAGGCAATCCCATTTTGGCGTCTGTCCCAAGAAGCCACGGCCTCTGACGGCCTCTCTGTGGCGACGCATGTGAGTCTTCTGCCTGCAAGCCATGACGGCCATCCCAGCCAGCATTAACTCTTCACATGGAGCTGGCTCAACCCTTGAGAAAGGCAGCCAGGCCAGGTGTGCCCCAGGCCCCTGTGACCCAGTGCCTGCTCCTGTCAGCCTCACTCATCCTCGAGGCCCCACAGGGGGACACCCTGTCACCACGTCGTGTCTGCTGCTGCCCTCTCACCTTCTAGTCCCTCCCCTGCTTTCATCTCTTCATGGCACTCGCCAGTCCTCGCACACACTGCGTATATTTTAGCTGTGTCCCCCCCACTGAGTGTGAGTTCTGTGAGAGCAGGGAGTTACTAGTTTCTGCTCTTGAACTGTCCCTAAAACATACACCGAAAATGTGTGTTCACTTTCTCCCCCCTCCCGGGACGTGTGCTACAGCCTGCCCCTGGGGAGCATGCAGGCCCTGGCAGAGCTGGTGCTGGGCAGGCTCTTACCAAACAGAGCCAGCAGGGACTGCAGCGCAAAGTGCACGGTTCGTCGGTTGGCTTGCTTCCCGGTTTTCAGGATTACTTCCTCCTGACCAACTTCACAGAGATCAAAACCTAGAGGAACAAAGAATAGAAACATCTGCTTCCTCAGGGAAGATTCCACATCCTGAGCATGATTAGAGCTGCAGGGCCCCTCGTGCCGTTTCATGGGAACACCCGCAAGGCCTGAGCAAGCGTTCCAGGCGGGCCGCCCTGTGCACATCAGTCAGTCATGTGAGTGGAGAGTCGGGCCACCCTGTCCAGAACATCCCCTCGACGCAGCCCCCACTTGGTGTACGTGTGGGCCTCACTGCCTGGTTCTCCTCCAGCCCTTCATAATGCACTATGGAGTGCTCTTGAGAACTGAGGACCAGAACTTAGTAACACTCATTCACATTTTTGTTGTTCTGCGCATTCTTTTGCAGAAGGACAGCTTATGTAAAGACTGTCCTGGACAAAAACGAGCCACTCCATTCAGCACTGGGGCCAGTGTCTGCAGCTGGTGGACAGGAAGCTGGGATTCGAAATGAGCTCTCAGACAATGGAGGCTCTGCTGTGTTGGCTGGACCACGCTTCAGGGACCTCAATCTGCCGAAGCCCGAGGGTGCTGCTCCCTGATTCTAAAGGCTGAAGTGAGACTAAGGGGCGTACAACAAAGGGCACAGAGCTTCTTGAGCAAGAGGCCGGCTAACGAGCTGTTGACACAGCACTTGGCCTCCTTAGGAGACATTACAGAGGCACCAGCACGTATGCCTCCCTGGGGAGAAGCCAAGCCCAGACGCCGTGGCCACCGACAGGGACCACCAAGTGAGGATTTGGGAGTGGAAGGCACTGAAGACCTTCACTCGGCCTCCTTCGGTGGATCACTGAGCTCTGCTTGAAACTGTAAAACAGAGTGCTTGTGATGCCACGCCCTTTTCTCTGGTCTCACATCGCTGCAATAGCAGGGACTGGCAACTCTCTCCCGTCCATCTGTCGTCCATCCATCCATCCTTTTCATCTTCACTCAAGGAGCCTGACACTGGTCTGACACTATCACCTCCTTTGCAATTAGGCTCACTGGAGGAAGCACGTGGTGTTCGGGTTGCTGTGGGACACTTTCCTCTCTGAACTCAAAAACAGTCCCTGAAAGCGACATGAAGGACTCAGAGGATTCCGCATTTAAAAACAGATAACTAATAATATAAATGTCGTGTTTCCCTTAGAAACCTCTACTTTTACCAGCATGATTTAATTGGTTGCTCCGACGAACAGAGTCCTCTCAAGCTCTGCCAGCCTGTGACGCGGGTTGACGGGGTGTACTTCATGCTGTGGCCTGCGAGGAGGCGAATCTCTGAGCCTCGGAGCCTGGCGCGAGCGAGCCCCCTTTCAAGGTACCAAGCCCGCTAGACATGGCTTTCCTCCCCCAGCCCTTAGTCAAAGGGCTTATGCAAACACAGGCACGACGGTCACACTGGAGTGTCAGTGGAATCAGGGAAGTAATTAAAGTCACCCGCAACCCCAATACCAGACAGTGCCAGTGTTAAGATTTGGGGGGTTTCCTCCTGGACCATTTCCCTTGATACACTGGGCAAGGGACATGGAGAACACAGGTTCCCAAGTGAGGAGAGCAGGCTCTGTCACCCACACCCACACTCGAGGGAGGCGCAGGCCCTGCGTGGAAAAAAGTCTTTCCTCTGGAAAGAAGGTCTGGGTTGCATCTTGTTGCTGACTCCGCTGTGCCACTGCCCCACAGCCTGCCATAGAAATGAAGGGGGGACTGTCCTGGCGTGAACCTGGCCTTTCTCACGCTTGCCTCCATTTGCTGCTGACTACATGTATTTAGATATAAATTAACTATGTTGACCTAGGAAGAATATGCTTTAAATCCACAGAAAAGAAGCAAGTAGTACAACCCATAAAGGATGCCAAGTCTCTAATCCAAGGAGACTCAGAGCCTCTCTGGGCTTTGTGGGTGTCCCCCTTTACCCTAAAAAAAAATGGTGTGTCTGAAAACAAATAGAGCCAACCCTGAGTCAAGGTCGCTGTGGAAGGGCATCTACAACAAGATGGCCCGATACTGAATTCCAGGCTGCACAAGAAGGAAGAAAAGTCCCATTTAAGGCTTCACTGTCCTGTCACGTCTGGTGGCTCATCCCTGTAACAGTGAGGCAAGACTGTGTTATCTTCCCACGGCTGTCTACTGCCCTCAGATAGAATCCAGAGGCCATCCCCTCAGGGAGTGCCTGGCCCTTCCTTCTTCTCTGGTAAACGTCTCTCTGAGGCCTGCTCCAGCCCCGCCCCCAGCCTCTGCTTTAGCCTGTTGGGGTGCTCCTTCACCTTCACAGGTGCTCCCCCAAGAGACGGTGCCTGATAGGTTTGTTTGTGTTCTCCCTTTAGACTGTGAACTCCAGGAGGGCAGGGCTTTTGTCTTTTGCTCACTGCTGCATCTCCGGTGCCTAGAACGTTGCCTGGAACAGAACATGTGTTCCGAAGGCAATTGTGGAGTGAATGGCTCCCACATAAGGCCCTGGACACTCAAGTGGGGGCAGGAGGAGAGAGGCTCATGGCCTTTGTGTCCTATCAACAAACACAGTCATAAGTAAACAGTGAGATGTCAGGAGCCACATCTGCATATTATAAACAGTGAGCAAGGCAGAGGGTGTGTCCTGGACTGACCAAGGTCCCTGCCTCGTGCAGTCCTAGGTGCCCATGGCCAGTCCGAGGTGGTTTCGATAGTATTGCTTTCCTGTTAGTTTCCAGTAGCCAGTGATGGAGGCCAACACCGAAACCATTATTTTATGACTCTACTTTTAGTTTTCTTTAGCCCCTAAGTCACACTTGGCCTCCAACAATACTGGACTCTAGCAGATTGCTATTAAGGTAATGCATACAAATGAGATAAGATCACAATAAAGGGAAAATGGGACCAAGTCGGAGGGCCATTTGGGAATCGTGTGAAAGCACTAGAATCTTTGAGTTAACTGTTTTAAGACAGTACGATGTCTAAAAAAACACTGAGAAGAGAGCCTTAAGGGACTGTCAGCTTTACCCGACATAAACCAGGAGGAAAAGCATATATTTAAAAAATGGAATTAAAGGAACCGTTAAATCAAGGGTGCTCTGTCCTACCGAGAGCTGCCAGGAATTCGTGACATCCAGGGAGCCGCCACAGCTGGACGCTGATGGAGACCTGAATGGGGGCTGACGCGAAGTCCTGCTCCTTCTCGCCGGCCTGGAGCTGAACCAGCACCTGGTGGAGCTGAGGAGGGAGGGCAGGCGTGAGCGCCACGCTGCCCGGCGTCTCCTTCCCCTTCAGCCCACCTCAGGACTTGGCCCCAGGTTGTTCTCATCCATCTGTTGTTCATCACCAATGACCCTCTCACCTCATGTGTGTGCACTGGAGACTCTTTTAAGGTGCCTTCGTGCCTACTGTGCTCTCTGGGAAGCTCATGGGGCTGTGGGCCAAGAGCCTGTGTGGGGCAGGAGTGGCTGTGTGGCCTCCGGGCAGGCCAGCCCCCAGTCAGGGGCTCTGCTTCCAGCCCCACGTCTTCCCTCGGGCACAGGATTGCCGCACGGGGAGGGGCTTGGGGAGCGGAAGGGGTTGGGATAGGGGGCTGGTTCACCCCCTTTTTTTTTTTTTTTTTTTTTTGAGTTGAAGTCTCACTCCGTCGCCCAGACTGGAGTGCAGTGGCCGCTCCCGGCCACCGCAGCCTCGACCTGCTGGGCTCCGGCAATCCTCCCGCCTCAGCCTTCCGAGTAGCCGGAATTACAAACACTCACTACCACGCCCAGCTGATTTTTTGTAGAGATGAGGTCTCGCTGCCCAGGCAGGTCTCGAACCGGCGGGCTCAGGCAATCCACTCACCTCAGCCTCCCAAAGGCGGGGAATTATAGGCTGAGCCACCAGCCCGGCCACCCCTTTTTTTAACTTGTTTATTTAGATCATCTTTAGAATCTTGAGTTAAGTGGTGGAGAGGAACCCAGCGTTGTCTTGGAGCCTCAGTGCTGGAGGAGCACTCAAACATCCCTGTCATTCCAGATTGCAGTTTGTGATCTCTGCTCAGGGGTCTTTGTGTGGTTACGGGTGTCACCACTTAAAGTCGGTTCTGCCCCTGCTGTTTTGTGGAGCTTGAGAGGCCAAATCGAGGACACGAGAAGAGTGGAGCAGGAGAGGGGAACCAGAGCAGAGGCAGGGAACAGGCTGCGGGGGACCCAGCCCAGAGCTTGGCAGCCCTGTGGCTGGCGCGTTAGACAGCACGTGCACAGGGAGGGAATGGGGTGGGCGGGGCGAGGGGCTCACCTGGCAGTTGCTACTTAAAGCAGTACTCACCATTCCAACCATATTTTTAACAGCCTTCGGCCGGCAGATTATAAGGAAAAGAAAGAAAGAGAGAGAGAAGAGAGTTTAGACTCAAGCACAGGCTGTTATGCAACACGAGCTGACCACTGCTTTAGGAAGCATCACACCAGGCCTGCGGCTCTGACCGGGAGGGGGGAGGAGCAAGAATCAGCAGGGGACACGCAGGAAAATGAACAGCCACGCCCAGGCCAGACACATGTGAGCTGAGGGCCTCAGGCCAGCATCAGCCAGCCCCACCCTTCCCCACCAGGAGAGGCTCAAGTGGGAGGGGTACGGGGGGCATCCACAGGCTGCTCTGTGAACCCAAGTCCGTGGTTCCAGAGCGACCCAGGAAGGACTGCCGGCCATCCACCTGCAGCTGGGGGCAGCCGCCGACACTTCTGGGGTCTGACAGTGTAGCGGGCAGAAGGTCCCTGTGTTCCCACCAAAAGCAAGAGATTAAGTGACTGGCTTTCTGGCCTCTCAGCCTAGCCCTGTAAACACAAGCCCATCTAGCTTTTTCTTTCTGTAGATCACAGACCTCTGGACCTCCTGGGGTCAAGAAGCTGTAATAGGCCATGTTCTGGAAGTGTCTTCCTGATGCTGCTCAATAAGCAGGTGGAACACTACATGACCAAGAGTCAACAAAGGGGATAGGTCTCTGAGTGCTTCTATGTTCCAAATCCAAGCGAAAAACAGCCCCAGCTCAGAGGAGGCTCTCAGTACCACTCAGAGTATCAGAGGCTAATCCTAGATGGAGCACCTTTATTTTTATCTAGAAAGACTTCTGCCTAAAGTGAAGTATGCTGACCCACATGTAACAATGTATGTCACATTTTTCAAATTACTACACTCTGAGATGACCAGGAACAAAGGCTCTGGCTAGTCAAGGGCTGCCCCACCCTCCAGAAGTGCTCCCACCCACGCTGGAACTGAGCTTGGTCAGACCCCCGCTGGCAGTGTGGAGTGGTACAGAGAAGCCCCAGGGCCAAGCTGTGAAGGACCTATGTGATGCTAAGAATCAGAGTCCTCCAAATCCCCAAATGAGGTGGTCTATGTTTTCCTAAAAGAAAACACTTTAAAAACTGCCAGGCAGTATCTTGCATTTGAGTTGACCCTGTGTGCACCACTGTGCCTCAGTGACTGTTTTGTTTTGGGCACGGACATAGTCTGATCAGAGGATGAGCAATGAACACCTGCAGCCGTCCTGGTGGGCTGGCCTATACCTGTTGGCTGAGGGAAGGTGGCTGTGATGCTGTCAATCAGCTGAACAGCTGGTGGTGCGATGGCAAGGTTCAGGACACCACTGGATGAGGAGTTCAGTCTCCTCTAAAGGCCCTCACAGTCTGGGCTCAGTGCCCAGAGAGGAAGTGCGAGAACCTGCCCTCCATCCCAACGTGGGCCAGGGAGGGCTGCTGTCTTAATCAAGCCCTTGCCTTCTCCGAAGCACAAAGGCATGAGACTGCATGTGCCTGCAGCTCCCCTTTAGGGCCAAGGCTCTCTGCCTCCCCAGTTCGGCCCAAGCCCTAGGCCGGGCTCAGCTGTGCAGACGCCACTTACCCGGCTGATAAGCTGCTCGCCTGTCTCTGAGGCAGTGATGAGTTTACAGAGGGCTTGGAGGGCAGGGTTGGGCAGACCTAAACCAAGAAAAAGAGGCGGGAGTTATTTAGAGGGGCCCCTGCACCCACAATCCTGCCATCTTCCCTGAAATCCTTAGCATTGGTGGCAATTTTCAAAAGCTCAGCACAGCCGGACATGTGTTTGTGTGTGAAGTGGAAAAGGAGAGAGAGGTCTGTGAGGAAGGCGGGGGAGCAAAGGGGGCCTCATCTGCTGCAGTCCTCCAGATGCAGTCCAGGACCCCACCTTGGGGCTCACGCAGTACCACCCCAGAATCAGCACCCAACTCACCCTGGAGGGGCCATGTGGCTCTCTCAGAGTCACAGCTGATGGTGACAGTATCGGTAGCAGCCAGTGTCTGCCAGCACAACCTCACATCATCCTGAGCAGGGGCAGAGCTGGGCCAGTGCCCGCTCGGCCCGGATGCCCTGCCATTACAGATGGCAAGAGCAGGGATGAGTAGTGTGTCCTCCAGGTCAGGGAAGGGCGTGCCTGGGATGCCTCGCCGCTTCTCGAGACACTCATACTCCCTCCTAACTGTGAGACCCAGTGTCCTCATGAATGCAGGGGCCACAGCCTCCCACCCCTGGGCCTGCTGTGGGCCAGGCCCGCACCGCCCAGCCCTCCCGAGGCCCTGCACCTGGCTCACCCAGCAGGGACTGGATGGTGCTGCTGCACTGCTGAAGCCGGTCACCCGGGTCGGAGGTGGGGAAGAAGACGGCAGCTGGCAGGCCACTGGCCGGGGGGTCCAGCCGGAAGCCCACGGCGGTGAGGAGGGCCTGCCAGCCAGGGATGCCGCCCACCTTGTTCTCCACGCTCTGCTGGGATGTGTACATGGCGTTGCGCTGCCCATTCTGGATGCGCTGCAGGGACTTCTCCACCTGGTGGGGAAAAGGGGGCAATCAGAGACCCAGGCCAGCCCTGGCTTCTCCATGTGGCTTTGAGGGCACACAAAGCCCACATGGCCAGGCCTGAGGCTATGGTGCTGGGGCTTGGCCAGGCTTCTTGCACAGGCAGGAGCAGATGGGAAGGATGTTACAGTCAGGACCAGTGAGGACTAGTGTGCCGGAAGGATTCTGTCTCGCCTAAGACACCTCTTCATTCTGGGTCTCCTCGGGCACTGAGCCAATTGGTCTAAAGACATAGGTCAGGGGTCTGCCTCAAACCATGTAGCGACTCCTCCCCCAAACAGTATACACCCTGGTCCTGGTGCTCAGGGCTGGCAAGCAGGAGGAAACATGCGCTCACATCAGCCTGGAGGAAGTGAACGTTCCTGGGCAGGATAGACAGCCAGCTCCCTGGCTGCCCCTCAGGCTGGAAGGGCCTTGGAGACATTGTCCACTGGGGTCAAGGAAGAAGAGAGGGGCTGGTGAACTTGACCCACGGCTCCCACACCTACCCCAGGAGATAACACGAGGAGGAGAAAACACTTAAATGTGCCCACGGGACCTCAAGGCTGAGTAGGGGCAGCTGAGGGACCTGGCCTGGAAGAAGGATGCCTGATGGGTAGAGAGGGCAGTTGCATGACCCAAGAAAAGCAATCTAGGGTGGTAACAAGGAAGATGGTGACAGGGACCTGAGAAGGCCCCCAGTGCTGAGCAACAGAAAGGCTCTATGCGTTCCCAGACATAAGGTAGCGTCTGTGGAGACAGCTTCCCAGTGTTATGGCAAATGGCAAGCCTGGCCCGAGAGCTGTCGGGGTCTGTGGGCCACAGCATCCTCACTTGTTCACAGATCAATTCCTCTCAGGCCCGAGGACAGCTCCTCCAGACAGACCCTCAGTTTAAGAAATGTGCAAGATTCATCTGTCCTCAGAAGTATGCCAAGCGCTTCCATGCCCTGGCACCAGGGATCCAGAGAGCCCTGCTTTGACTCGCCCCATGAGCCAGAAGTCTGCACAGCTGGGGAACATGCCCATCTGGAACACAGGCCCCAGGCCACTCCCATCTTGAGCAGGGTTGGGGCAAGGGTGCTGCAGTGACCAGCCTGCATGGTAGCCATGGGTGACCGTCTGCGCAGGCCTGGAAGGCGCTTGGATGGCGCTCTCCATCCATGTGCACTTGCCCAGTTCCACAGCATCAGGGCGAGTCAGCCACCATCACACCACTCATGGTCAGACTCAGACTCTTTCTGACCGAGCTTAGGGGAGACCGGGCATCTGATAAAGTAGTAATTCTCTCAGCCACTGGGACTCTCGTGTTTGCCAGGAATTCATATTTTCTCAAGTCCTCACAATAACCTTGAAATGTCGAAGTTTCATAACCCCCTTCCAGATGAGGAAATTAAGGCTCAGCCCAAGTGGCTTGCCCGAAGTCACACGGTCTGGAAACAGCTGGGGTATAGGTCCCTGCCATCCACTGCCCCTCCTCCAGGGTCCTGGCAACGACTGCTGTGGCCACCTGTATGGCACCACACCCAGACCTGCATTCACTACCCAGACCAGCGGGCTTGTTACAGAGATGTCTGTGGAGGTGGATGGCGCTGCCCTGGAGGCCCAGCCATGATGCGCCCTCCAGCTGCTCACATCCCAGGCAGGAAACCCGCAGCATCCCCTTCCCATGGGGCCAAGCCTAGCCTCCTTACCAGGTGCAGCAGCACTCGCAGGGCGTCCCGCGCACGCTCCGGGTGTTGTAGGATCTCTGTGAGGGCCTGGCCAATGAGTGACGAGGGACTGTTCAGCTTCACGTCACTCCCGATGAGTATGAAACCTGTGGCAAGGACACGAGGACACCTCAGTGGGGCAGCCAGAGACCCCAGCCTGCCAGGTTTTGACGGCTCATGTGGGCCCCATGGTTGATGCAGCAGGGAGAGCAGGCCTGGGCAGGAAAGCTGCTCACAGGCTGGGCTGGGGGCATCTGACTCTCTGGACGGCGATGTGGTACCCTTGTGTCCCCTTCCTCTGTGGAACCTGTACATACCAGTTGGCTGTTCAGGTAAGTGGGGCCCGCTGCTTTGCAAAAAGGAGCCCAGGAGCCACTGCCTTCCTGACTGGCCATGAGTGAGTGATGGTGGCCCCATCATCCCCGGGAATGACCTGCCCTGTTTTCCCTGAAATTCACCTGTGTCTGTCTAGGCCTTGGAGGAGGGGACATGTTGGGCTGGGGACATGTGCTCCCCTCCTCTTTAGTGCTAGCAGAGGTGGGAGGCAGGGCGGGGCTGTTCCCCAGCTCTAAGAACCGGCCAACTGCACCAGCTGGGAAAGACCAAGGTGGCCCAGGGAGGCGGGACCCCTGTCCTGCTCCTTCCTGTCCTCCCTTCCCAAACAGGACCTGGACAGTTTCCTTAAGGCCCAGGGCAGCTTTGGGACCACCTGCCCCCACCTCATGGAGGGAAAGGGTATCTAAGAGAAGGAGCTGTTTTTAAAGGTAGCAGGGCAGCAGCATTAAAAATCATTTCTCCCAGAACTAAGTTGTGACTTTACTACTGTCTATCAAAAAACTAAACAAAATACGACATTTTCAAAATGCCACGTCCCTGAGCACACCATGAAGACCCCCGCAAAGGAGGGAGGAACGATCAAGCAGAGGAGCCGGCTTCCCACACACCCTGCAGTACATTCCGGGGGGGCCTGTGGAGCCCGAAGACTCTTCTGAGCATAGGCAGCGTGGGGAGAACAGTAGCAGAAACCACTGGGATCACCTCTGATTTCTGTGTCTCCTGGGAGCAGAAGCAGCTCAGCAACATGGCCAAGCCCAAGCCCTCTGCCTGCTGGCCTGCCCTCCATCTGGCAGGGCCAGGGCACAGCTGTGAGTTGAGGGAGGGGCGGCCAAATAGCAGAGCCAGTGCCTATTGGTCAACTTCTCTTTAGCCACGTGAGCAAGCAGGGCAGAGTCTATTTGCTTTTTGAATAGCCCTTTGAAAAATACTACTGCTGTGCTGTGTTTGTGTAGTCAACATTCTGCACTTCTCAGGATGGCCCATCTATCTGGCACCAGCTTGTGGCCTGTGGCAGCACGGCCTATGCCCTTGCAGCCTCTCTGTTTGCTGGCTGACGGGCCTGGTATTGCCACGGCGCCTCCTCAGGGCTCACTCCCCTTTGGATGAGCACTTTCAGATACTCTACTCTACGGGATGGAACCATCTTATCCATTGGTGGGTCTTTTGTTTTGCGCTGCGTTGTGCAGTGCCCTGGGGAGCGATGCGAGAGAGCACGGTTGGAAGGGCCATGAGGTTGTCAGCAAGGCAGCCCCATTGAAGAGAGGCCATTGGGGAGCAGAGGTCCGCTGGCACTCTGTGTACCTCGGCCTGGCAGGGAGGGATTCCTGTCTGGCAGACCCCTCTGGGTGGCTGCTGTTGGCACACCTGCCATGGGGCCCCCTGGGGAAGAAGGCTGTTGTGCGGAGCTGAGAGGCAGCTCTGGACACTGGCTGGGTCCTCCCTTCCCACCTGTCCTGGAGGAGCGCTCCCCATCCAGACCCCAGATCCACTGAGTGCATGCCCTGCTGGCATTTCAGAATGTTAGGGCCTCACGCTGCACAAGACATTCAGTAGGCGCCTTAAAAGTGCTATCAGTTGTGGACTGGGTGGTGTCACCAGCACCGCCATCATCATCCCCTTGTTACTGCTGAGGACAGTGAGCTTCAGGGAGCGCAAGCAACCTGTCTCGGGCCACACAGCCAGGACATGGAGCTAGCCCAACCTTACGTCTTCCAGTGGCCACATCAAGTCTTTCTACCACACCCGCCCTCTTCTACAGTCACAGTTTAAGTGGGGTGCCATAAAGTGGGCCACCCAGCCTGCACTCGTGTTGGGAGGATTTTTTAATTTAATTTTATTTTACTTGTGAGTTGGAGTCTCACTCCATCGCCCAGGCTGGAGTGCAGTGGCACACTCACGGCCACCGCAACGTGGACCTGCTGGGCTCTGGCGATCCTTCCACCTCAGCCTTCCAAGTAGCCAGAACTATGGGTGCATGCTACTGCACCTGCCTAATCTTTTATTTTACTGTAGAGACAAGGTCTCATCAAGTTGCCCTGGTGGGTCTCGAACCTGTGGTCTCAGGCAATCCACTCGCCTCGGCCTCCCAAAGTGCTGGGATTATAGGGTGAGCCACCGAGCCCAGCCGGAGGGGTTTTACACGCACTGTCTGATGGCAGATGGCTCTGCTGCTCGGTGCCCAAGACGATCTTTTTTTTTTTTTTTTTTTTTTGAGTTGGAGTCTCACTGTCGCCCAGACTGGAGTACAGTGGCCGCTCCCGGCCACCGCAGCCTCGACCTGCTGGGCTCCGGTGATCCTTCTGCCTCAGCCTTCCGAGTAGCCGGAATTACAGGCATGTGCTACCACGCCCGGATGACTTTTTGATTTATTGTAGAGATGAAGTCTCGCTGCCCAGACGGGTCTCACCTCAGCCTCCCAAAGGCGTGGGATTACAGGCTGAGCCACCGAGCCTGGCTCCCAAGACGATCTTAATACCATAGCAGGGAAAAGCTCGCTCAGCAGCAGCCAAGGCTCTTGGCACACAGGCTCTCCTGGAACCTGCAGGGCGGTCCTGCCCTGCCTCCCCGCCCCACCTGCAGAGTGCAGCCTGGGGTCCTGTGAGGACTGAGCCCCAGGCCACAGCAGGCACCCTCGCACACCCTCCTACCTGCCCAGTTGGAGGGGTGTGAGAAGGCCTTGCTGCCTTGCACCGCCTTCATGGCTTCCCCCAGGGCGGCGCTGGCCTTCAGGCCGTTCAGCAGGGATGAGTAGAAGGTGTGGACAAACATCTTGGAAGCAGCCACTGGCACAGGCCACAGAGCCACGAGGACACACTGAGCACCGGCAGCCAGAAAGGCCCGTGTCCGCGCGATGACCCCATCGGCTGTGACCTTGCTGTTAGACTCCTGGGAGGAGCCGAGCACCACCAGCTTCACCGGCAGCCGCAGGTCCAGGATGTCTGCGGCAGTGAGCAGCAACTCCTGCAGGGGTGGGCAGTCCGAAATGCTCTCCCCGTCGCTGGTGTCATCCTGCACCCGCAGGGACTCCGGGATTGTGTAGGGGTGGCCGAAGGAGCTCTTGCTGCTGGCAGGGTTGCCATCCATGCTGGGTGTGAGGACCAAGGCTGACAATTTCCAAGAGATGTGGGTGGCGAAGTGGACGCACTCAGCCTGGGTCAGGGCACTCATGACCCTCTCCTTGGTGGCCACACTGCCCACCAAGGGCTGGCAGCCCAGCAGCTCAGACACCATGTAGGCTTCCTCCTCGGCCGACGGCATCGGCCCCCACAGCCACCTGTCCATCACTGCTGATGGCAGCTTGGGGTTGCCGATGACAGCCGCCATAGATGTGGAGCTGGAGTACGCAGGCGGGGTCTTCCGCAGGTGAGACTAGGAGGGAGAGGACAAAGCAGACCACCAGTCACACAGAGTGGCCCGGAGGCTGGGCAGCAGTCGACCAGGCTCAGGGACGGCCAGCTCTGCTGTCTGCTAGTCTAGCCTGCCTCCACCTGCTTCCTGGGTCCTCTCAGACTAGTTGTTTGGCGTCCTTCTGACACAGGTGCTAACTTACTGAGAATCCCCCCTGCTCTGATGAGCTCTGGAAAACCAGGACTGGACAGGAGAGGGGCACTTCCTGTCTGTCAAGTCCTAAGAGGGCTGGGGAAAGGGACCCTGATGTGACAGAATGGACAGAGGCCATGGTGCTGGGACAGCCAGCCTGCCCCATGGCTCTCACTCTAACAGACCTCTCCGTGCAGCCCCTAGATAGAGGAAAACCCATACCTGGTAAGTCACGGACTTGGAGGAAAGACTTTGTTTAAATTGTGAAAAAAAAGCAAGTCAATCTCATGGGAGACAGGGCCAACCTAAGTCCTTTAGAGGCCCCAAATGCTGAAAAGATTATAGTTCCCTCTCACCTTACAGGCTGCAAAATTAAAGAATCATGGAATTTAAAAAGCAGTATGAATAAGCCCAACCAAATTCTAATTTTCCCCATGATGATACTTGACACTTTTGGGGAAACATCAAGTATCAAGTTATTTCCAAGTAACTCTATGGTGTCTCTGCTTGGTGATGCCTTAAACACTGGGTAAGAGGAACACTGGATGCCTGTCAGGTGACGAGACTCTCCCAAGACCCTGGTTAAGCTGGCAAACACCTCGCTTACTGCTGCCATCAAAGCAAAAGCTTCCTAAGGCTGCTACATCTAATGCCCAGAGTGCTACTGACAGCAGGGAGCTGCTGGGTGGCCCAGTGTCAGGCAGGCCCACTTCACCTGTGGGATTCAGAGTCAGTCACGGAAACTCGGCAGACCCGGAGAAAGTCATTTCTTTCACTTTGAACTGATTCTGTCTCATAAGAAAAGTACCACTCAGCACAAAAAAGTTCAAATTAAGATCTCCAAAAACCCTTGAGGCAGAAGTGAGCCCAGTTAGACCATGCCGATGACCAGGGTCAACAAAGAGGCCAAGTCAGTGGGCTGCCCATGCATCGGGCCTGGGGCCTCGGTTCTTCACCTGGCCTACACTTTCTACCATTGTGCGGAAGCCCACCTGATGGACGCCTGCCCGGCCAGCCATGGGGATTAGGAGTAGACAGGGTTGGAAGGGCTCTGAGGACAGCCAGCAGCTTGAGAGCATTGGAAAGTCTGAAGACAGAGCAATGCAGGTCCTTGTGGCAAGGACAGTCCCACGGCTGGTGCAGGCAGGGACACTGCAAGGGGAGTGCAATGTGGGCAGGAGCCTTGTGGGATCATGAGGGGTAGAGGGAGCCAGGGTTTTGAGGTCTCTGCGAGAGTTTGGAGAAGGGGAATAGGACTCAGGGTTGGGTCCAAAGTTTCTCTCATCAGGTGGGCAGGGCCAGGATGGCTGTGGGGTGAGACCTGTGACTGTGGGTAGCCCGCTATTGCCCCCTTGATTTTCACAGATGTTTCTTTCCATACTGATTTTTTTTTTCCTGAATGAGACCTGAGTCCCTGCCTGGCCTCTGAAAGCCACCTCACTTGTTTTCAGTTCTTTCATTGGCCTGTTGGGCTCATGACCCTGAAGTCACAACAAAGACACTCAGAATTGACACAAATCATGGCTTTCTGAGGTAGCAAAGCCCTGCCAGGGGTCAGGAGGGTTGTCCCCACCTTTGGGGAGACTCACTCTACCTGGGCACAAACCCTAGAATCAACACTTGAGAGGAGCTCACGGCCTGTGCCTTGGTAACACAGGCCAGGCCCACAGAGAGATGTGCCTTTTGACTGGAGGGCAAGGCTCCCCAGATGTGCTGAGCTTACCTTGGCCTGTGGGCTGAGGGAGCGGATGGAGGGTACTGCGACAAGGCCGAAGCGCTCATAAAGGTACTCGTTGGAGGAGCTTCCCTTCAGGAGGGCGAAGGGGATGAGGTAGAGCTCACCCTCCAGGACCAGGATCAGCTGCCGGTGCCGGCCCACGGGGCCGCTGGAGTGCATCAGGCCCTGCAGAGCAAGCAGAGGCTGACGCCGGCCCACAGGCAGGGCGGGCAGGGCTTCAGACTGCAGGACAGCTCCGGCGGCAGACGGGAAGGTGTCCGAGTGGCCAGGCCAGGCTTGAAAGTGTGGGCAAGGGGGGTGGGCTGGGGGCACTGCCCTGCAGGAGCTTTTCCCTCGCAGAGTGGCTCAGGCTGGCTTGGCGGGGCTCCTGTCTCCCTCCCAGGTCAAGGGACAGTTCTTGAAATTTGTGGACAACCTGGAGTGAGTGGGAGCCCAGGGTTGCCTCGCCGGTCAAGAAGTGGCATGGCCCACACAGACACTGGCAGACCTCACTAGATCCAGATGTGTCCACAGGAGACAGGGAGTGAGTACAAAGGGCAGCTGTCCCAGAAAAAGCCTTGGTGACCCTGAGGGCCAGGGCCAGAGGAGGCTGTGTGGGCACAGGCGTGCCCCGAGAGCAGGCTGGACTGGCTCCTCTCAGAACAGCCAGCAGGGCTCAACTGGAGGGGGGTCTGTTTTCCATTTTGATGGATGGACGAGAGGCTGGAAATTCAGAGTGAAGATGGCAAGTATGGGAGCTAGGATAACATCTCCTGGAGGAGAAGGGCGGGGCTGGGCTCCAGGACCTGCTGGGACCTCTTCTGAGGAGAGGGTGTCTCCTGGGTCCGGGCTTGGGAGGTGCCAGCCCTGCTTGTTCTCTCTGGGGACATCAGGAGAAGTCCAACATGCTGATGTGACACCCATCCCTCCTGAAAGGCCTCTGTGAGGGCACGACATTGCAGACAGACAGACACTTGCTCATTCCATCCTCTGCATTTCTTTCCAAAAGGACTGCAGTGGAGACCAGGGCTGCATCTCACCAGCAACCCTTGTGAAGGACAACAGGACTCAGTGCAGGCTGAGCGTGAACAAAGGGTGGAGGCAACGCTGCGTGGCCCCAGCCTCCAGGGCAGGAAGGCTGCTCTATGAAGCTGTGTGCAGCATGGATGCCACGGGCAGGCCGGCTCCCTCCCCTCACCCCCTGCCTGCCGAGGGGCGCTGACAAGTGGGGCACTCACCAGGGCGCTGCTGTGCCCGGGGATGCAAATGTGCGTGCCTGACCTGTCTGACATGCTGCTGTGGGCGCTTGGCTGAGGGTGGTAGTTAGCTACTCAGCTAACCCAAAGTGACACGTGCCTGGCAGGACGTTCAGTCTCTGCAAACCCCCTATGATCTATCTTTCTTTCTTTTCTCTTTCTCTCTTTCCTTTTTAAATTCTAGCTGCATCTAAAGAAAGCAAAAATAAAAATTATCAGGACGGTTTGTTTCTTGTTTGCTTTAAGAGCAGTCGTGTTTCCCAAGAAGGGGTAAATGAAGCGCTGCGATACGAGAAGCATGTGACTCTGACGCTGTCTGTGGATGAGCTTGGGGTTAGCATGGGGAGGGAGGGGAGCTGCAGGCAGCTGGGCCCTGAGATCCCCAGGGGCCACACCTGAGGCCCCATCAGCCCACAGGCAGAGGTGGCTATGGGGGCCGCTCTGGAGGGCAGTGCCACCACACGGCTGGAGTGCGCCAATGAGCCTGGAATGAGCTGCTCTGCCCTCAGTAATGGGGTCAGCAGCTGTGACAGTGACAACCGCCTGATGCTCAGCAAGAGTCATGCTGCCCAAGACACGGGCCACATGGGGCTTGAGCCACCTGCCACGTGCAAAACTGAACCCACTGTCTACCACTCAAGTCACCAGGCCTTGTGACAGATGCTGGCCTCAGCCCTGCATGTCCTCCCTGGGCTCCTGCCACCCAGGCCCACCCCCCCACCCCCGTAAGCTTCTGTCAGATGTCATCCCACAGGCCACTGCTTCCACCAGGACATGCCCGGCACAGGGCCTTGTGGCTGGGACTGAGCCTGGCACATGCACAGACCCCAGGGTGAGGGGAATGGGACCCCCGTCCAGGTAGTGTGAGAGGAGGCAGGCGACAATCGCGGTTGCTTTCTGAGTCATGGGCTTGTGGGGAGGGGATCAGATGCAGGCTGGGAGCTCCGGTTACAAGGCAGGGGGCACCTGCCTGGACAGGTTGGGGAAGACACTCTGGAAGTGGTCTTCTGAGTTTGGCTCTGTACACAAGCACTGCCCTTGCACCAAAAGATTAGCCGTAATCCAATGTGACTTTGAAAGGGGCGAAAAAGGTGACATCTCTATCCAAATTGTGTATCACTGGTTAGATGACAAGGAGAGACATTCAAGGAACTGCCACTCTGCCCTGGGCCTGTCAGCCAGGAGAGGGCACCTGCTGGCTTCTTAGGCCTCAGGCTCGAAAGGCCAAAGGGCCCAGGCAGCAGCCTACGGCAGCGACTACCAGAGGGTCTAACAGATTCCCCCAAAGACTCAGATTTCCTGACCTCAAGTTTCAAGAAATGGGATCTTTTAAAGCAGAATGGGACATGGAGACCGGGTAAACTAGAATCTGTCCCTTCTCCAGGGGTGCGGCCCTTCAGTCTCTCCAACGGACTGTGGCCCTGCCTGTTGTTCGAGAGCATCCAGCAGGCCCGGCCAGTGGGAGATGACAGGGATGCCAGGAGGTGAAGTCTTTGTACAGGGAGAGGGTGGGAGGGTGGTTCCTCTTGAATGGTGGGTGAGGGGTGCACTGGAGGCGACTTTGTGTGGCTGTGGTCTGTTGATTGCCTCTCAACCCCCAAGCCCTGTTATCATCTGCGGCAGGTGACGTTCCTTCAGCTTTCCTCCCATGAGTGCACGCAGCGCCAAGCTTTGCCAGTAGAGGGCGCTGGTGGAGGGAGGGACTGAGGAGCCAGGACTCTCCTGCCAGCCTGGGTCAGTGCAGCAAGGACATCCAGTGGGGCCCACTCTGCCACAGACCCAGAATGCTGTCCCTCTGCCACCTTGCAGTCCTGACCAGCTGGTAACCTTCACAGCGCTCCCCACAAGGAGACCAGAGCCCCCAAGCTCCCAAGGCCCCTACCCACCCCCCCAGGCGCCTGGCCCGACACACCCTCCTGCTGGAAGCTGCATGCCACTCCCGCGTGCACTCAAAGTGGAGCTGCTGCCCGCCCAATGGCTCCAACCTGGCTACGGCCTCTGTGTCCTATGGGCTGAAGCACACCTTCTCCAGTGTCTGTCCCTTCCCGGGCACCCTCCCTCAGTCCTGGAGAACCGTAAGGTTTCTTATATCTCAGTCACTCTTTCCTCCACATTGAACTTGCCCTGGTCAGCCCACTGTGTGGCTTGTTTCCTGATGGACCCAGAGGGAGGGTCCAGGGTCCAGCAGATCAGGAAGAAAAGGCACCTTCTGGGAAGAGGGGAGAGGCCTTGGCCATGGAGTCTGGCCCACCACGTTGGGGCACTCCTGGGATCTGGAGTTGTAGACAGAGAGGTGAATGGTGAGCACCTTGACAAGACACCTTCCTGCACCTTGGTTTCCAGACCCACAGAACAGCACCAACAGGACAGGCCTGGGAGATGGAGGGAGCCATGGCCAGCCCTGTGCCTGGCACCTGGGGACACTCCAGACAGGTCAAATATGGATTTACAGCTGTCTTCAGGTATCCAGAGGAAGTTGATACAGTCCCTATTATTCATACAATTCTTTCCTCCTGGGCCTCAACCATTTTTTCCAGTACAACTCATTCCCTTTCCTTCTGGCTTTACAAACATTCATCCTTTCTGGAGCATCCAGCTCCAAATTTTAACCCAGGGACAAAGAGAGACAGACGTCACCACATCCCCTCACCTCACCATGTCACCATCACCATCACCTGCAGCTACTTACTGAGTCACCACCCAGCAGTTACCCTGAGGTCACATTTCCAAGCCTGCGGTTCTCCCAAGCAACTTCCATGGATACAGAATGTTTGACTGGGTGGTGAATGCAGATTCAATAACCGTTTTGGTCAGTAGGAATCTTCATATACTCCCATGGTGACCAGGGGTCTTGACTACTCAGAAAGCGCTGGCTTCCAAACCCATGCTCCGTGTGTATCACTAGGGTTCAAAGGGCCAGCAGGCGATCTCTGGGGTACACCAAGGCACTTCCTTTTTACTGGAGGCCTCTCAGGGTTTCACAGCGTCACAGGCAGGGGAGTGAAAAACACTGATCACCATGGAGAGGGAAGGAAAACTCTGGGGTCCATGAGTTTTCAGGCTGACTAGACTTGGGGTGAAATGGCTTTACCCTCTACAGCAAGGATTGCAGCAGCTAAGGACTGCTGGGCATCAGGATGCCCCACATCTATTAACAGTACTTGGACTTTTTCCTGACTCCCATTTTTGATTGGGTGAATAGATCAAATAGAATGGTTTAAGGTAGAGAAACATTTTCTGTGATGTTTTCGAGAAATCTTTTCATTGGTCAAACATATAGTTTCAGCAAATATTGGAAGTAGCCCTCAAATCTACTGGAAATAGCCCTCAAATCATGACTGAAGCCTACCAAAATTATAGACACTATATTCCAGCCAGAAATGGAAAAGTAAAAATTCAACCCATTCAACTGTATTCTTTAGCCAACAAACCAACAGGCTAAGAGTCTAAGAGCCTGAAGAATTTAAAAGGGCAGGGTGGAGGACATGAGTATTGGAGAAATGTGACCAGCGGCCAGCAACAGTCAGAGGGGCCTGAGGGCCTTACCTGACACACAGGGTCCAACCTCAGTCAGAGGGACCATTCAAGCTGCAGGAGCCTTTGTGCCCAGGGGTACCGCTCTCTCTGTCTTGGCTGATGGGTAAAAATGAGCCTCCACCCTCTGTGGCAGAAATGCCTTGACCTGCCCAGAACCCACTGTGCTGTGATGGCTGCTTGCTGGACACTTGCTAGATAGAGCCCAGATGACACTCACTTGACAGCAGCCACCCAGGTGAGGACACCACATACCTTGGGGAGCCTCACTGGGTGCTCCTGTCATTGCTGTTAGTCGTACAGACAGCTTGCCAGGAATTGCCTCCATTTTTTCTCCTTCTAATCAGTTGCTGGAAATGTTTGTTGTCCTTGGGTGACATCCACCCTCATTTGAAT